GATGTCAGGAGCAGGAAGCTGCCTGAAGACAGAATAGGAGCAGAGTGACAGAGGTGTTATCGACGGACCTCAATAGAGCTAGTTCTCCATTTAAAGGCGCCAGTGTTCTCCAACTTGCATTATAACACATCTGTGGGATTCCCATTAGAATGGTCTAGTGATGTACTTCCTGTAACCAGGCTCTACCTCCTAAAGGTTCCATAAATTCCCCAAACAGCACCACCAGATGGGCACCATGTGTTCAAATTCATGAGCATCTGAGGTCTTTTCTCATGCAAACTACAATAGGTATGTAAAACATCGGTTTGCACCAAAGAGATGAGCAATTTGAGGTAGACCCCTGAATTTCTACATGTGTGTAGCAAGTTCAGCACGTTGCTCAAGTACTAAGTTTTATGAAAATGAAATGACGGTATAATAGAACCAAGCATGCAGAAGGGTAATTAAGAAATTTATTGATAATAATTAATAACGGGGTATTATTAAAGGACCTGAGTAGAGCTACCTCCTCCTTTAAAGATACCAATGCAATTCCAGTTGGATTCCAGTGGGGTTCCTCTGTCCCCTGCTCACAGCTCTATCGTTCTGGGACAGGGTGAAGCACGAGAGCTTTCTGTTCTCCAAGGGTAGATACCTTGCCTAATTATTTGCATACATATAAAGAAACAGGGAACAAGGTTTGGTGACCTGTACTCACAATGCAGCACCAACTACAAGCTAGCAACAGAGTGCACCAAGAAAGTGGGGGAAGGGGGAGGTTAAAGTTCAAGGATGCTGTCAGATGAGGTGTGAACCGTCAGAGGTCAGAATGAAGATTGTAGTCTCTGGTCTGTAACACAAGTCCCATGTAGTACCACTGCCGAGTATGTTTTTGTCTAGTTGCCTCCCAGTGTTGGTGCATAACCAATAACAAATGCCAGAGAGATGGGGAAAAAAGAATTAACACTTGAAAGTTCACCTTTGAGAAATATGATTCTTAGCACAAGAAATTTAGCAATCCAAGCTACCTTAGTTACTGATTATAAGTGAATATTTCTGATAGAACTGGGGATTCTATCAGAAAGTGAGGAAACCACAGAATTATTCTAACTGTATCCATTTTTCATATTATGGTTTCAAAAGTGTTGTAATCTATAAGCAGTCTATTTATCTATATAATATACAAGCTGTCAACTACTAATTTACCAGGAATCTGTAAAATATATTTGTCATCTCTTTTTTATCATCTTTTTTATCATCTATCATCTACATATCTACAAATGAATTCATTGTATACAATTCAATGCATACAATTCAATGTATACAAATTCAATGTATACATTGAATGTATACATGTATGCTTGTGTCTGCCTATAAACTTATTGTTCAAATTTAAAGCTTTTACACGTGCACTTTAATTTACTGAGAGCTATAATGCCTATTTTTTTGGTTGTGTTCCCTACAGTACCTCTTTAAAATATTCCTTATTTCCATATTAATCTATACAATTAATGAAAACACAATCAACAATCCTTAGTTTGTACCAATGTGAATGTCATCTTGTTTATGGTAATAAAGTTTGTTATATTAGTTATAGACATGACTACAATTCCCAAGAAAGTGCACCATATTACATGATCATATTTTATGATTTCTTACCACATTCCAGTTGAGGTATTTGTGCTGAAATCTGCATACTTTAGGCCACCAGTACATTACTCTGCACATTTTTGGTTGAATAAAGTACATATTTCCCTCTTGTGTTTTCTTCTCAGACATCTCTTTGGATATAGGTGTAGATGGTCAATATTACATCTCATGCAGAATAGGGTCTTACGATTGTGGTCTCAGGCTTAAAGACTTGGCTTTTTGAGGATAGAACCTTACTGCATCTGGGCTACTCCGCAGTCCATGGTAAACTCTATGTCTGCCTTGGGGAGTGACATCAACCCATGATATTGTCGCAGAAAATCAACCTTTTGCATTTTAACTCATCTGAGACAGTTTGCTAACACGGAAGCAACACCAAGATCTTTGTTTTTGCCACTCGTATATGATCCATTCTCCCTGACACTAAGCTTCCCGTCATGATACTTTCTATGCTTGATTTTTCTTCAGCAGGAATCCTGGGTAGGAAAGTGAGGTGTGCGGGGACATGATGCAGCTAAATCATAAATAGGGGAAGTGAATTCTGGTGTCTCCTCAGGATTGGTCTCATCCCTATCTCTTGGCATTCTATTGCTCAGTTTGGCAGGAACGTCCTATATTTTAATGGGTGTTTCTATTCAACTAACTTTCAAAGGCCTGTTGAAATCAGTTGAGATATTTTTACAGCTGTTTTCCCACGAGTTCTTACTGTCATCAAGCTTTCTCGTTCTCTGACAATGGAAGAAGAAAGAAGAGCGCTAAGTGTGATTCATCAGACACGTGAATGTGTGGGGTAATTTTGGAAGCCATCCTGACAGAACGCTACAAGAAAGCCCTTGTGCTAAGGAACTCCTCCATGTTTCATACATGGATACTTCTTTATTTTAGAACAATAATCCACTTAAGGTTATTGCTGTCGAGGGAAAAGTCGCGGTATTCATTGGAACCCACTCTTGCTTTGCAATGTGAATCAGAATCCCCTAGTGATTCATATTCTCAGGAAGGGAACCTTGGTCTATAGCCTAACAGCATAGCTACAGCCAGAGACCCTCACATTGCATGGGGTTTGGGGCCTTTTTCCTCTTTCCCATGTTTCCAACAGCCACTGGCACCCGAAAAGGGCTGTGTATCTTTATTTTAGCTTAAATATTGAGTGAATGAGTTGCCACTGGCCAGATGCTGTTCAAATTTACTTTCGATTCCAAATGAGTTTTACTCTCACAAACTTTAAGAAAAGAAAAAAAAAACAACATCTTTCCTGCTCTTTCAAAAATGTAAGAGTGAAGAGAGTACATTTTTCTTTGTCAATAATTGAGCAGAATCAAGAGAAACACAACATACAGGGTCTTAAAGAAAACAGTGCTAAGGAACCATTAGCTAATAGCAAAAACAAGTCGAGGAGCCAAGTCTCGCTACTTGAGATTAGTGACTGCAGCCTTGCACTGTTTCTGAAGTAGCTCTCTACAGAGAATCTCAAAAGGAGCAACGGAATCAAGCACTGTCTTCAGGTCTGGCCTTGTTATAACTCATTTTACATGAGCTCTAGTGGAACTCTGTCTGCCTTGAGAATATCCCACCGTCCTTCACCGCTGCTCTGGGCATCAAAGAAACAGGAAGCAGTGGAGAGGCCCAGGTTCAGCTGTGTAATGGAAGCCCTTAATAGAAGGGAGAGAGAGTTCATGTCTGTTCTGTCAGGAAGCAAAACTAATGAAGGTGCATGTCAGTGGCCTTCAGGAGCCATGAGTTCTCAGGGGTCGTATGAAGAAATCAGCTTATTAGAGTTAGCTTGTGACCAAACACGACCTTTATTTGCTTTTCTTCTTCAAACTTGGTACAACTGGTGGCCAAGCTTCTATGACCCTGACTTTCACATATAACCGGTGGTGTAGTTATGGACACTTCTCATGGTGGGGGCCCCGTGCCAGTAAGCTTTAACACTTGTGCGAGCACTTGGCCTACTTGTATTCAAGATGTTTCTATAGGACCTACACACTTGTGTGTGTGTGTGTGTGTGTGTGTGCGCGCGCGTGTGCGCGCGCTCTGGGAATAGTTGTTCCCAAGCCTGACACAAAGGGCTGTTAGCATGAACAGTCCAGAAAAGCAGCTATTGCTTCCCCAGGTGCATCCGTCTGTAGAATGAGTGCTGCATGAGGGCCTCTTCCTGCATGAAGCAGCTGCATTTGAACTAGTATGTTACTATTGTCTTAATAATTCTGCACTAAAACAAAAATCCTAATAAGTCGCTTAAATTTAACACTAGCCTCTATGCTAATGCTCCGTGCTCTGTTGGTGGGCTTTGTTGTTGTTGTTGTTTTCTGTTGGTTTTTTTGTTCTACTTTTTATTTTTCTCTTAAAGTAGCTCTTCTGAGTTGTAATCGATACAAATAAAAGCTCACATGGAGTGGTTGAAATGAGCTTTGGACACCTATGGCTTCTGGTATTATCCTCACAACCAGTACACTCAAGGGCCCATCACCCTTAAAAGTGTGGTCTTCTGTAGTGGTGAAGCTGTTTACACAAATTAAGCCTCTGACGGAGGCTGAGAGGGCATCATAACAAGCTGGGCAGTAAATGGATCCTACTTAAAGGGGTAGAATGAGGTATGAGCAGATTTCCCAGTGTGGGGCTTCTGATGTGTCACACATGATTGGAGCTTCCTTCATTCACTCATTCATTCGGTCACACACCCACCCTCTTACTCAGCCACTTGTCCGTTGTAGAAGGGAGCTTTTGTTCTTTTCTCACCATGTGGAGGAATAAGTCAACAATTCTTCTGTCTGACTGCCAGATGTGTTGATGTGCTTGTCCCCCAAACTCCACAATACCAAGGTAGCTATTGATGTGACACCCATTTCTTTTTAATCTAAGAACTAGAATCAGTTTCTGTACTCCCTCGGTTACATTTTAAGACATCCCTCCCTAGGCCTGTTCAATTAAATTGTTAGACTTGTCAGAGAGCTAACGTTCCCTCAGAACAATACAAATTAAACTGATTGGGTCGTTGAAATTATTTCAAAAGATGAACAGTCATAGAATCGAAATAAACTAGAAAAAGTAGGAAATTTGAGTAACTAAATCTCCTAGGAAACATGCATAGCAGATGGTAAAGTATCTAGTCTTGTTGTTATAAATAAATTTCAAAGACACTCAGAGCAGCCTTACAAAGTTTTACTGCACTAACAAATGACAGGCAGCCTCTGCAGCAGGCAAGAGATGCTCTTCCCTGCTTTGAGTTTCCTTCATTTAAATGCGTTTCTGCTCACACCATCTCTGCCTGTGTTTAGAATCTGCACACACATTCATCTGGAAGCCACACAGGCCTATTTGGGGAAAAAATTCTCATTTTTTTTCCTGGGGTGTTTTGTGCTTTTCAGATTATGATACTACCAACTCCTACAATAAGACTCAAGTTGATGTTGGAAAGGATGCAAACTCTGATTGTGTGTAGCCCTCTGCAACAAGGCTCCACCAGCAGCCTTCCCAGGAGCAGACACTGTTCTAAATGACGAGAATCAAAGCCTAACCGCCCAACTCACTGGCCATGAAAATACAGGTATGCAACCCTCAGATGGTTCATCCGTTACTGGTCTTGACATGATCTCACCGGCTGTGGAAGAATTAGGTGACATAGAGGATGGGACTTGTTCCTGGAGCTTAATGAATACCCTCATTAAAGCTCTCCTTACCAGGAGGTCATCTGAACTCAGACACGGCCGGATCATCCTTCACTTCCAGTATTTCATTAAGAAATAGCATTTCATTCATTAAATTTCATATTGAAATAAGCCAAAACTTTACCCAATACTATTTTGCATTGTTACTATAAAAGGTGGTCGGATTAACACATGTCTCTGAGTTGTTCGTGCATGTTTACTCATCAAATTAGTAGCAAGCTCATTCATTCAGATCCGGGTTCACATGTGCCTGCACACTGGGAAGCTGGGTGTCCTAGCCATGTACAAACCATCTTCCATGTCTCAGTTCGCCACCTGGACTTCTTGTGTGAGAAACAAAAGCACATATCTCAGGGGTATGACGTGAATGTCCTATGAGAGAGTTCACACCAGTATTCTTGGTGTGCTCTGGTACTTAGCATACAGAGTGGGCACTCAAAAAGACTCTAGGTCTCTGTGTATTATTAATATGTTAAATCTAAATGACTCTAGACATGTGAAAGTACATTTCCTTAGGTCCTTGTAACTCTCATTGAAGGAGACTCTGTTGTGGGGCTTTTTCTTGGCTAATGACTTATATGAAAGGGTCTATCCAACTGGGATGTCACCCCTGGGCTTGCAGTCATGGGACCTCTAAGAAACCGGGCTCAGCAAACTATGAATAGCAAGCCAGTAGGCAGCATTTCTCCACGGTCTCTGCTCCAGTTCTGCCTCCAGGTTCCTCACTTGAATTGCTCTCCCGACTTCCTTTCATTCATGTTCTATCATCATTTTTAAGGTGAAATAAACTCACCTCTGAAGTTGCTTATGGTCATGGTTTCTATCGCAGAGACTGAGAGCAAACTAAGACAGGTATTTTTTAAACCACTCTTCCTGCCCTTTCAAAACCACCACTAAATTCGGCCACTCCTGCTGCTGTGTTACCTTGTCAGAAAGATTTGATTATGTCTGGTGAGTTACCCAGAGCTAACTGCATGGATAAAACTACTCTCTACTTCTTCAGAGTCTCCCTGACCCTGTCTTTTACATACCCGGTAACAAGAAGCCTACCAGTTACCCAAGACCCCACAGACTTGCAAGCCCCTGGTTATGACTGGAAGCCATGTCATGTGAGTTCTCATTCTATCCAAGTTGTCCTTTCTAACTCAGTGGGGACATACAGACTTACAAGATGATAAGGAGACCAAACTGAAGTCACAGCAAGCTTGTGTTATGTTGCTCCATTTGAATATTAATAAGGCCTATATTTATAAGAAAAAATCGTAAGTATGGTATTTCGAACAATCTGACCAGCACACTACTGGTTGATTTATGCAGACAGAAATAAATGAATTGAGTAGATAATAATGTTTGTGTCAACTTAAGATTTTATTATGCCTACCATCACTGCTATAATTACAAATATTAACAGCAAGATTTTTCTCTTTTTTATTACTTTATAAATAATACCAATCAAAACTCCCACTTTCTCCCCCCCCTCACTTCCCTCCCACTCCCCACCACAACCTTCCCCGACCCCTCACCAGTGATAAGTTCCTGCCCTGTGGGAACTCCAAGGCCCTCCCCACTACATCCAAGCTTAGGAAGTTATACATCCAAAGAGAACCAGTAAGTGCAGTAGAAACAAATCCCAGTGCCATTATCATTGACCCCTCAGTCTGCCCCAATTTTCAACCACATTCAGAGGGTCTAGTTTGATCCCATGCTCGTTCATTCCCAGTGCAGCTGGAGTTAGTGAGCTCTCATTAGCTCCGGCACACTGTCTTAGTGGGTGAACCAACCCCTCGGGGTCCTGACTTCCTTGCTCATATTCTCCCTCCTTCCACTCTTCAACTGGACCTTGAGAAAATTTAAAGCTATTAACACTTTCCTATTTCGATTCCCTACTCTTTATTGTAATTTAAAACAGAATGTGATGCCTATCCATATAACGGACATTTGAAAAATCTGTTTGCAGTATAAACAAAGTTATAACTTAGTAATACCACAAAACTTGAAGTCATTAGTATTTAAGAATCTTTAGAAAATAAAATGGGAACATACAAAATAGTTGGTCAACTTTCTCTCCCCTTTCATTCATTCATGTTTCTTCATTCATGTTCTTTTGGGTATTATTGTACTTCACATTAAATTAGAAAGTAAACAGGCTGCTCCTTAGAAGTTGATGCTTCTATTTTGTCTCTTTGGTTTGCTTGTATGGTTTAAAGTAATCATGGTTACAATAGAAGGACACATAACAAGATCTAGATTTGAAGCCAGAGCAGTTATACCCCTCGCCCAGCTCTTGTCTGGCCCCTGTCACATTTGGTAAAACCAGAATAGAGTGGGCAACTACTTTTTAGAGTTGTCATGATAACTGATGAGATAATTAAATTCTCTCATCTTAAGAGAAAATCCGGAGACTTGTCTATTTCAGGAAATATTAGCTATTATCATAAGGATTATTTTCCTTAATACCTAAGCCATTTACTGGCAATCAAATTAATTGTCATATCCTTCCAGGAAAAAAAAATTAGTTCAAATCTTAAAAACTCTTCATTTTTAATTCAGGTTTCAGGCCGCACGTAAACTTCTTGAAGCAGACTGAGTCTGATTGGAGCAGTGACAGTACCTCTCCATGTTCTATGTACTTGAGAGTCTAAAATGTCAGAGGACACAGACCATGGCACAAGAAACCAAAAATTGCACTTACTATTCAATAAATCAAAGTCATTGCTGAATCTTGTAAAGGGGAGATGAAATTCCTCAACTCACCTATGAAACTCTGGGAATTTCTTCTGAAGCAAAAACAGATTTTCTTTAACTGCTGTGTAAATTTTGTTTTAGGATGATCATGAGGAAGGAGAGAACAAAGGATAATTAGTCTTGTAGTCAGGAAAAGTGTTTGAAAATAAAATACAAAAACAAAAACAAAACCAAAGAGTGGTTTTAAGTTGAGAGCCAGATTTCGTTGATAGACAATATAAAGCAGAGAGAAGGGCAGGTAGTTAAGTCAGAATGGGGTTGCACACAGCATTCTGAAACAATGGCTCAGGCTATGGACAGCAGGACAGGACACCTGCATGGCCTCGGACTTCTCCATGACAATGTGAACTTGAGTGATTTATTTGACTTGTCTGTGTTTTAGATTTTCAATGGAACCTCAATAAAAATAGGGACAGTGATCATGTATCCATCAAGGAGTTGTGACAGTTCAGTGACTTCCCATGAAGAGTCCCCAGCAGCAGTCGGATGGTCACTAGGCCACTGTGTGAAGATAGCAGCTATGTTTGCTAGCTAGCATCTCACAACTTTAACTGAAGATTTTTCTACCATTTAGAGTTATATATTTCAAGAAATTCTTCAGCATTAGAAGTCTCAATTATTAAATATATAAACATATGCAAATAAGAGCATTTACATAGGATGGATACAGAAGCCCCACTAAGTACCAAAAGTTGGACAGACCTGCTATGTCCATGAGACTTTATTTCTCATGGGTCACTATGCTGTCTTCTTTGCAAAGCTCTGTACACGCACACACACACACACACACACACATTTTTTTGTAGCTGTGACCACATTTACAAGCCACATCCACCTATTTTATGACCTTTCTTACAGGTTCATTTTTTAATGTGAAGTTTAATCTATTTCTCCTGAACAGGGAAGGGTTTCCAAGCTAACTAACAAAGGAAACATTCCTGACTTTGTAGTGAGAAGAATCTTGTTTATTTGCATTCTGGTCCCACCACCACTTCCTAATTTTGTGATGCTAGCAATTTATAACCTTTCCAAGTGTGTATTTCCTCTCCAATATGGGCTAATAATTTGTACTTTACGGAACTGTTTTGAGTGTTAAATATAAATTACATTCTATTTCACAGTGTTTGTATACAGTACCCAACGTCTAAGAGTTAACATTATGAATATGATTTTAACTGTAAGCTATAGAAGAAATAATGTAGCCCAGATTCTTAGAATCCATCAAAACAGGTTGTAAAAATGACTTAAAGAAACATCCACCATGGCAATGACTAACATTTTGAAAAGCTTTATTTTTCCATGGAGAACCATATCCCAGCACAACATTGTGCCTCTGTGTTCTTCTTGTCAGGAAGGGTAATATACATGATGCATTGACTAACTGCTAATGAAAGTTTTTATTCTTAAGGCACAAAATATTTCCCAACACAGAGCACAAGGTCTTTGTGCTCATGTCAGCTCTAGAGTGGAACTTTTGAAAAAGAAGTAGAGAACGCGCTTGTTTCCACAGACATCAAAACGTGAAGGTAAAAATGAAAGTAAAATACCATATGGCAGAATTTTTGCTTTGAAAAGCCTGCCTGAAAAGTGTGTTTAAGTGTCATGAAACCGCCAACCAATGCTACTTTAAATATTCTGAGATAGATTGTCAATTTTTTAATGGCACATGCTCAGTTTAACCAACATGTTCTAATGTTGCTCTGTGGGGATCAGTTTACCCAACATGTTCTAATGTTTGCTCTGTGTGTATCTTCCTGAGGAGTATGGCTAAGAAAGACATTCCTTCTTCTGCACCTATAAGGGAAAGCAAGCATGCCTCTCTCAGTCATCACAGTGGATCAAGCAAGCAGCACGGTTATTACTGTGGTTACTATTATAATGCACTTCCAACCTGAAGACACTCAGGGACTTAGTTTAGGCAAAAATTCAATATATGTTCTTTGTTAAGACTCAAGTTGCTTGTTCTGAGAGCCAAAGTACTTTATTTGGACACTTATTTCATCTTGTCTTAGTTAGGTTTTTATTGCTATGAAGAAACACCATGACCATGGCAACTCTTATAAAGGGAATATTTAATTGGGATGGTTTGCCTACATTTT